TATATACAGTCATGGGGTGGAACATGTCTAGACTATTTACAACAATTCCATGGTCTTAAATCATCACATACATATAGGAGGTCGATTCAATAAGTTTCAGCGTGTTCGGGAGGAAAACTCAGTGTGTTTTATTTTAAAAAATCAAATTATTTATTTACAAAATAGGCTTCTTTTAGAGGGATATACATTTCTCCCATCGTTGCTGCCATTTTCATTGGTGCCATCTTAGTTGGAAGCAATACTTATCTGTTCATTGACAACGTTTACAAACTACAAATGAGCGTCAGATCTTCCTCGGACATATGGTCGTGTTAATGTCTCACCCTGACTTCTATCTTAATGTTATTTCAACTTACGATCTAGTCATTCTACCTTTTTATATTTTTCTCGCCGCATGTGCAGAGAATGAGATAAATTAAAAGTAATACATCTACTGGAAAAAGCGTCCCTCGCCATCTCATCTGAGAGGCGTTCTCCATCATCGGCCGGACCTGCAGTCCTGGATCTTTCCAGTTGGTCTCGAGGACCACACCATCACCATCTCCTCTGTGGTGAAGCAGGCAATCTACGTATTCTTCGTAGTTCGCGAAATGCGTGGTGTCGCTGGAGACCCGCTGGCGATTCTCCACCAAACTCTGCAGCGGTGGCAGAGGCGCCATGTACATTGTACATAGTGTTATATATATATGTCATATCCGTAGTGGTCAAATGGAAGGGCGCGACCGTTGTGCAAGTAAGCTTCGAAAAAAGAATTTGTTCCACACTCGTGAGCACGCGCACGCGGCGGCGTGCCGTAGCATTCGCCCGCGCGCGCTGGCCCCCACGTTTATTTTGTGCAGATTTATAGATGGATGAATTTGTATTTACATTTTAACATATTAATTATGGCAAAAATAAATTATATCTCTTGGGCATTAGGCAAATTATGACATATATACCTATTATTTTAAAATAATATAGACTGTGCACTTCTGCATGTATTGACAAGATGTCAATAAAATATTATGCAAATTGTCAATTGTCTACTGAAAAAAAAAAACATTTAGGATATACTAACTCCCAACATCATCCTACCGACTGATGTTCCAGCCAAACAATACCTGAAGAAACTCTTCGAGGAGTCCTACAGGGCCTCCATCCTCCCCAGGATCAAGTCCAACAAGCCAATCCCGATCATCTTCAAATTCCTGATTTTCATCCTCTGTACTACTGGATTCTTCTACCAGGTCGCAAGGATCTCTCATCGCTCTAACAATAGCTTTTCTCTTACTTATCGCTTTTATTAAAAAGGCTAGACCTACTTTGGAATCCAACAAAGAACAGGTGTGGTTACACATTCCTATAAACACTTTTTATAAATCATTTTCGCAACCAACATAAAGATGTCACCTGTGATGTATTTGGGTTATTAAGTTTGATTTAGGATTTTATAAAATACTTGCGGACGTACCCGGCTTCGCCCGGGGTTTTACCCGAGTAAAGGTTTGTCTAGCGAACATTTGTTAAAACAATTCTCTAAAAACTTATTTAAAAAATATATATATATATTTTGATAATTTGAAACTCGTAAATTTGAATCTCTCGATAAAGTGAACATTTTTTTCCCGGTCCCTGTGTGCCGTGTCATCCTGAATTTTGTCTTTCCTAATTTTCTACATTAGAAAATCATAGTTTTATCTAGTGAACATTTTTTCCTGGTCCCTTGAAAAATACTCGATAAGTTGAATAAAATCAATATTAATTGGTTCCCTCGGTAATTGGAAGTTAAAGGAATAGTATCTTCGCCTTGGAATTGTATCATTATTCTTGTCTCAAATAAATTGCCGTGTCATCCTGAGATAATCTTACTTTTGATAAATAATATTTAAGATAACAAACTTAGTGATAAGAAAACTTGTTATCATCTTCACAATGGGGGCGCTGCTTGCGAGTTAAATCTACAAATCTGCAAATAACTCTAAGGATATTCAAGATATTCATGAAATTATTTTTCAAAAACCTTCCCGGTGATATACCTAATAATATCCCAAAATTTCACGGCGATTGGATGTATGGTTTTTGAATCTATAGAGTACAGACAGACAGACATTCAATTTTATATATATAGATTTACTCTTCATTGTTGGCTTTTTATCTTACATTCATTCTTCATTGTTGGCTTTTTATCTTACATTCATTCTTCATTGTTGGCTTTTTATATTACATTTACTCTTCATTGTTGGCATTTTATCTTACATTCATTCTTCATTGTTGGCTTTTTATATTACATTTACTCTTCATTGTTGGCTTTTTATCTTACATTCACTCTTCATTGTTGGCTTTTTATATTATATTTACTCTTCATTGTTGGCTTTTTATCTTACATTTATTCTTCATTGTTGGCTTTTTATATTACATTTACTCTTCATTGTTGGCTTTTTATCTTACATTCATTCTTCATTGTTGGCATTTTATATCATATTTACTCTTCATTGTTGGCTTTTTATCTTACATTCATTCTTCATTGTTGGCTTTTTATATTATATTTACTCTTCATTGTTGGCTTTTTATCTTACATTTATTCTTCATTGTTGGCTTTTTATATTATATTTACTCTTCATTGTTGGCTTTTTATCTTACATTTATTCTTCATTGTTGGCTTTTTATATTACATTTACTCTTTATTGTTGGCTTTTTATCTTACATTCATTCTTCATTGTTGGCTTTTTATATCATATTTACTCTTCATTGTTGGCTTTTTATCTTACATTCATTCTTCATTGTTGGCTTTTTATATTATATTCTGACCAAAATCTATCCGTGAACTTCACACAGTGAACTTCACACAGACAGAATAAGGCAATTATATAAGTAGATTTACTCTTCTTTGTTGGCTTTTTATCTTACATTCATTCTTCATTGTTGGCTTTTTATATTACACTAGACGAATGGCCCGGGCAACGCCCGGGGTTTACCCGAGTGCGAATATATTCTAAAAACGTTGACTTGGGTGGTCGCTATTAACAGGGTGGTCTGTATAGACAGGTGGATGTATCACACAGCTGATAACAGGGTTGTCTAGAGTGGTCGCTATAGACAGGGTGGTCTGTATAGACAGGTTTATGAGAGAGGCACAAACTTACAGGTTGTTGACGCCGCAATCCCCAGAGAGAGTGTTTTTTGTTGCATCATGCTGTGACTCACACGACGACCCAAGGTCAACAGGGGTGGAGCAGCAAGCTTAATTAAGCCTATCACCGTCTGGCGGCGCTGCCTACGAGTTATATCTACAATTATGCAAATAACTCTAAGGATATTCAAGATATTCAAGAAATTATTTTTCGAAAACCTTTCCGGGGATATACCTAATAATATCCCAGAATTTCATGGCGATTGGATGTATGGTTTTTGAATAACAGGGTTGTCTAGAGGGGGGCAGGGAGGACACGTGTTCCCTTGCAGCCAATGAGCGCGCATTCTATCCGTGAGCTTCAGACAAACAGACTAACAAACAGACAGAATAAGGCAAATATATAAGTAGATTTACTATTCATTGTTGGCTTTTTATCTTACATTCACTCTTCATTGTTGGCTTTTTATCTTACATTCATTCTTCATTGTTGGCTTTTTATATTACATTCACTCTTCATTGTTGGCTTTTTATATTATATTTTTAGATTGAGATTATTAGCTAGTATGTAAAAAAATTAACTCTGTTGAAATTTAATTTTGTATTTATATATAAATAAAATTAACTCTGTTGATTTTTTTTTGTATTTAATCGATAACAGCGAAGTTACGCATGTTAATGTTAGGAAATATATTTTGATGTTAAGCAAAACCTGCTCCATCTCGTTTTACATAAATGTTGAAAATTTGGTTGAAATTGATGCATTGTAACGAAAGTTTTTAGTGAACAACACTTATGAAATTTGCATTTTATTAATATAGATAATTTATAAGCAACAGAAAAATACAACTTACATTTTAATATTCAGAAATCAAGGAATAAATAAAATGAACGAGATTATGATAAGTTAATATTTATAGAGACAATATCTATATATATAAAATTGAATGTCTGTCTGTTTGTTTGTTTGTTTGTACTCTATAGATTCAAAAACCATACATCCAATCGCCGTGAAATTTTGGGATATTATTAGGTATATCACCGGGAAGGTTTTTGAAAAATAATTTCATGAATATCTTGAATAACCTTAGAGTTACTTGCAGATTTGTAGATTTAACTCGCAAGCAGCGCCCCCATTGTGACGATGTTAACAAGTTTTCTTATCACTAAGTTTGTTATCTTAAATATTATTTATCAAAAGTAAGATTATCTCAGGATGACACGGCAATGTGACACGGGAAAAAATGTTCACTAGATAAAACTATGATTTTCTATATGATATAAAAAGCCAACAATAAAGAGTGAATGTAATATAAAAAGCCAACAATGAAGAATGAATGTAAGATAAAAAGCCAACAATGAAGAGTGAATGTAATATAAAAAGCCAACAATGAAGAATGAATGTAAGATAAAAAGCCAACAATGAAGAGTAAATATAATATAAAAAGCCAACAATGAAGAATGAATGTAAGATAAGCCAACAATGAAGAGTGAATGTAAGATAAAAAGCCAACAATGAAGAGTAAATGTAATATAAAAAGCCAACAGAGTGAATGTAAGATAAAAAGCCAACAATGAAGAGTGAATGTAATATAAAAAGCCAACAATGAAGAATGAATGTAAGTTAAAAAGTCAACAATGAAGAGTAAATCTCTATTTATATATAAAAGTCAATTTCTGTCTGTCTGTGTGTTTCGCGATAAACTCAAAAACTACTGAACCAATTGGTACCATATTTTGCATGTCGCTTTTTATAAACCTGAGGAAAATATTCGGCTGCATTTTGATTAGTATTTTTGGCTATTTCTTTTTTTTTTTTCATTTGAAGAACTTTTTTTTACGCGGACTAATCCGGAATGGAATGAATACCTAAATATGGCCATTTTTTTAAGCATCGGTGGTTCAGTGGTAGAATGCTCGCCTGCCACGCGGGCGGCCCGGGCATCCCGGCCGATGAATTTTTTTTTTACAATTTTTAAAACTCTTTTATATTATCTTATATATGAAAAAATAGCACAAATGTAACATTGTACTGGGATAAGGTGCATAAATTAAGAAAAAGGCATCTCCTTATCGTGCAACTGAAAGTTGCTGATGGCTGGCGCCATCTATCGGAATAAATATAAACTATTCTCGTTGATTTTTAATTATTCCAGAATTGGCCAAATACCCATTCTTGATTAATCAAGAAAAGCTAACCACGGACGCGTTTCGGGCTGTTGGCCCTCATCAGCGTGGTGCAAGCTGTACCTCAACGACCAAAAAATTGGTCATTAAGGCATCCTGAAAAATCATGAAACGGGTAGTTAAGGCCAGAATTGCGTGAGGACGCTACACAATGTGAAAAAATAGCACAAATGTAACATTGTACTGGGATAAGGTGCATAAATTAAGAAAAAGGCATCTCCTTATCGTGCAACTGAAAGTTGCTGATGGCTGGCGCCATCTATCGGAATAAATATAAACTATTCTCGTTGATTTTTAATTATTCCAGAATTGGCCAAATACCCATTCTTGATTAATCAAGAAAAGCTAACCACGGACGCGTTTCGGGCTGTTGGCCCTCATCAGCGTGGTGCAAGCTGTACCTCAACGACCAAAAAATTGGTCATTAAGGCATCCTGAAAAATCATGATACGGGTAGTTAAGGCCAGAATTGCGTGAGGACGCTACACAATGTGAAAAAATAGCACAAATGTAACATTGTACTGGGATAAGGTGCATAAATTAAGAAAAAGGCATCTCCTTATCGTGCAACTGAAAGTTGCTGATGGCTGGCGCCATCTATCGGAATAAATATAAACTATTCTCGTTGATTTTTAATTATTCCATAATTGGCCAAATACCCATTCTTGATTAATCAAGAAAAGCTAACCACGGACGCGTTTCGGGCTGTTGGCCCTCATCAGCGTGGTGCAAGCTGATGCAAGCTGATGCCAGCCATCAGCAACTTTCAGTTGCACGATAAGGAGATGCCTTTTTCTTAATTTATGCACCTTATCCCAGTACAATGTTACATTTGTGCTATTTTTTCACATTGTGTAGCGTCCTCGCGCAATTCTGGCCTTAACTACCCGTTTCATGATTTTTCAGGATGCCTTAATGACCAATTTTTTGGTCGTTGAGGTACAGCTTGCACCACGCTGATGAGGGCCAACAGCCCGAAACGCGTCCGTGGTTAGCTTTTCTTGATTAATCAAGAATGGGTATTTGGCCAATTCTGGAATAATTAAAAATCAACGAGAATAGTTTATATTTATTCCGATAGATGGCGCCAGCCATCAGCAACTTTCAGTTGCACGATAAGGAGATGCCTTTTTCTTAATTTATGCACCTTATCCCAGTACAATGTTACATTTGTGCTATTTTTTCACATTGTGTAGCGTCCTCACGCAATTCTGGCCTTAACTACCCGTTTCATGATTTTTCAGGATGCCTTAATGACCAATTTTTTGGTCGTTGAGGTACAGCTTGCACCACGCTGATGAGGGCCAACAGCCCGAAACGCGTCCGTGGTTAGCTTTTCTTGATTAATCAAGAATGGGTATTTGGCCAATTCTGGAATAATTAAAAATCAACGAGAATAGTTTATATTTATTCCGATAGATGGCGCCAGCCATCAGCAACTTTCAGTTGCACGATAAGGAGATGCCTTTTTCTTAATTTATGCACCTTATCCCAGTACAATGTTACATTTGTGCTATTTTTTCACATTGTGTAGCGTCCTCACGCAATTCTGGCCTTAACTACCCGTTTCATGATTTTTCAGGATGCCTTAATGACCAATTTTTTGGTCGTTGAGGTACAGCTTGCACCACGCTGATGAGGGCCAACAGCCCGAAACGCGTCCGTGGTTAGCTTTTCTTGATTAATCAAGAATGGGTATTTGGCCAATTCTGGAATAATTAAAAATCAACGAGAATAGTTTATATTTATTCCGATAGATGGCGCCAGCCATCAGCAACTTTCAGTTGCACGATAAGGAGATGCCTTTTTCTTATCTTATATATATAAAATTGAATGTCTGTCTGTCTGTACTCTATAGATTCAAAAACCATACATCCAATCGCCGTGAAATTTTGGGATATTATTAGGTATATCACCGGGAAGGTTTTTGAAAAATAATTTCATGAATATCTTGAATATCCTTAGAGTTATTTGCAGATTTGTAGATTTAACTCGCAAGCAGCGCCCCCATTGTGACGATGTTAACAAGTTTTCTTATCACTAAGTTTGTTATCTTAAATATTATTTATCAAAAGTAAGATTATCTCAGGATGACACGGCAATTTATTTGCGACAAGAATAATGATACAATTCCAAGGCGAAGATACTATTCCTTTAACTTCCAATTACCGAGGGAACCAATTAATATTGATTTTATTCAACTTATCGAGTATTTCTCAAGGGACCGGGAAAAATGCTCACTAGATAAAACTATGATTTTCTAATGTAGAAAATTAGGAAAGACAAAATTCAGGATGACAAGGCACACAGGGACCGGGAAAAAATGTTCACTTTATCGAGAGATTCAAATTTACGAGTTTCAAATTATCAAAATATATCTTTTTTATTTTTTAATAAGTTTTTAGAGAATTGTTTTAACAAATGTTCGCTAGACAAGCCTTTACTCGGGTAAAACCCCGGGCGAAGCCGAGTACGTTTTATAAGTTTAAAGAGAATTGTTTTAACAAATGTTCGTTAGACAAACATTCACTCGGGTAAAACCCGGGCGAAGCCGGGTGGGTCCGCTAGTATATATATATTATTATAATATTCGGAAATATATAAATAAATGACCTGTGTGGGAGTAAAAGGAAAGAGGGAAGATAGTCGGGTTGAAAAACAACCCCCTTGGTGAACAAGTGTCAAGTCTTCATTCTCCCCCAGGGGATTTATCTTACTTAAATCGATTAAAAGCGGCTGGATGTGATGATCAAGGGACAGTTCTCACCGAGGTGGTCTCGACGCCAGTTGTTCTAGGGGTTATTTTTCTATCTTTCATCTCCGATCTATTTCCTCTGGATTCTGTGTGTCCTTACCACCCATCACTCAACCACCACGACTGTTTCTAACCAACATGCCACACTACAGTCATCCAACAGCATAAAATGCATTACAATATATATATATATATATATTGAGTAACGTTGAGACTTCCGTATTGCCAACTTAAGCACCTCTCAGCCACAATCACGAAATCCGAGTTCTGACAATGATGAATCCGAAGCAACAAAGGTAGTTTGTTATGGCTCTAGACAAAAGGCTGTGCATTTTGGACTTGATGAAGTGGGCGGGCAACGCCATCAACAGATAATGAATCACAGCCGAATGCATATAAAGAGCTTCTGCTATTGTCAGCCAATGGAAAGATAACCATGAATAAAAAGGGAAAGAGGGGGGAATGGAATCAGGCTATAAATAATCCCAGATACTGAATAATTATCTAAAAATTCTGAAGATAGCTTACATAATTGTTGAGATGAAAATCATAATCTAGTTCTACTATTAAGAATCAAAACCTCATATCTTACTCAAATTCTCTTTTAAAAAATATTGTAGAGCAGTAGCGGTGAGTAAGCAGAGGATCCAAAACAAATTCTTAAATTTAATTATTTGCTATTTTTAGATTGCAGTACAAAACTTATTAGAGAATCAATTCCCATTGCAATCATAGTCTTTATTATTTCCGTGTGCATTTGCAATTCACCGACATCAAGCATATCATATATATATCTAAACTTATAAACATGTGTTCCAATCTTCTATCTCTTACTATGAGTTGATTTTTTCCTTCTAATCTTCCTAACCCCATTATAACTCTTATATTCATCCAAAGCCCCCAAAACAAATCCTCAAATTTAGCTTTTCGCTATTTTCAGATGTTCAGTGTAACAGTTATTAAAGAAATGAAATTATAAGAGCCTCTGAAGAATCTCAAATTACCATAACTCTATCATCATGTATGGTGCTGTGGCAGGGACGTACCTGAGCGTACTGCTAGACCTCCAGCCTGAGGACTACAACCAGCCTCTGAGGAATGTGTACGGCCTGATCAATATCCACTCGCCTTATGAAAATCCCCTGGTCTACCGTGATGCCAGGATCATCAAGCCTGGCAGGACGTATACCTTCACCATCAAACCGGTACGCCCAGATCCCCTACTAATTCAAAATAAATTAATGTTAAGCGGACATTACACTCTTATTATTTCTATCATGTTGAAGTTTGATGTATCCTGACTTGTCTATATAGCTGAAGTCGAAAAGCTTGTGTGTGTTTGTTCAGTATATTTTGTCATTCCCTCTTTATTACCCAAAATATACTTAAACATTCCTTGTCAATTAGCGAATATTTCTTTTTAGCTTGCGATAAAGTCTGCGAGTAAATAAATTCGACTTTTATTTACCTCAATATCAATGTGCGATAACACAGAATTAATTCCATTACTGCTTGAATCGCAGGATAAACGAATTAAAAATTTAGGATCGTAAGCCATTAAAATCTTATCAGATTTATACTTATCAGATCTTATCATTTCTTCAATTTTTCTGAGAGCGCTTCAATAACTATTGGACTAATTCCACTTATAGCTTCCTTTTTGTGAAAATTATAAAGGGGTGACAAAACTTCTGCAGCGTTTGAAATAATATATGAAAATAGGCAACAAAACGTATAAAAATCACGCAAATGATTTCTATATAGGTTTAGGAGCATCCATAATTGCTCTAATTTTATCAATTGTCTTATACAATCCAATCCGAACAATTTTGTGACTGCAATATTCAATATGCTCTTTAATCATTTACATTTTTATTTATTAGCCTCTTCAGCTTATATTAATTTTTATCTATTTAAAATTTGCTTTATTTTTTTAATGTTCAGTGTCTGCTTTACCCAGTACTAATATATGGTCCAAATATAGACTAGGGTACTTGATATAGCTTTTAAAATTTG